TCTTGCAAACAACTATGGATTCTAAAGATTTGGATTACATCAAACTAATAAAATTGATGTCTTTTGTGAATTTTGTTGTGTTTTATAGGAGAAAACGCCTTATGTGTCTCAAGGTAAATAAACTATCACAAAACGGTTAAACGAGTAACGTTAAAAAGAATGTATTTTTAAGGTTTTATATTGTATTGTTTAACACCATGCAGACGAAACGAGCAAAATGTTAATATTTATGAGTATTATATCAATAAATGTGACTGAAAACTTAATAAGACCGTGGAATGCAATAGAGTCAAAACATAATCATGCTACGATATTAATATGCATAAATTGTGATACATACAAATGTGTACGTCGGTGGATTTGTTCATACGTAAATAAATTACGTTTTTGTGCTGTCAATACGTAAATATTTTACGTTTTAGAACTGTAAATACGTCTGTATTATACATTTCTGCGCATATAAAACGTAATTATATATAGGTATGATAGAACGACACTTTACGTACAAATACAAACGTATTCTCATGAGATCACGTTGCCTCTTTGATACAGTAGGCATTGACTTCAGTTGATAGATGCTGTATTGTTACCTTTCTTGGTCAAAAAGCAAAGATTTATGCATTGATGCCATTCAAAATCAGCCAAGTAAAACCCACACAGTGTCCGACTAGAACTTTCAATCTCTCTCTGTCTTGTTTTCCTCATGCATCACACTCAGTCTCTAACTCTCTTTATCTTGCAGCCTGTCTCGTTTTTTCTCTGCCTCTTCTCGTCTGATGGCTGTCATTACACTCGTTATGCTCTTCTCGAACTCCTCACTCAGCTCTCTCCACTGTGTCTGACAGAACGTTTCAGACCGCTGCTATGACTGATATCACCCAGCCTCGTGTTTCTCCGCTAGCTGATCTCATCCCTCTTTCCCTCTCTTTTCCGTTTACTCTTAACACGCGGACCGTGCTGAATCGTCTGAGCTTAGCCTCATCTAAAGACTATCACAATCACCATATTTCTCTCCCTGTTCTGGAACTGATTGGCTTGACAGCTCCATTTTAAACAGAAGGATGTGATTGCGCTGTACAGTGTGCGATGAACACGTGTGGCACGTCTCCTGTGGACGCACCGCTTCCTCCTCACGACTGTCAGCAGTGACACAAAGCTTTCGTGGGAAACAGAGGTCGCTGAACCAGTCTGCAGGCCGGATGGAGTGCGATGAGCCGGAGAAAGTGAGAGAAAGCTCTTTGCGGTGGTAATGCTTGGACGCTTTCCACATCTTGAGCACCCTGTAGAGGAAAAATATTTGTAATTCTAGCCTCGAACATCGCTAAGCATTAAAAATCACTATATATCACTTCATTGAGTCAGATGAAGTTAAAGGGTTAGTTTACCCAAAAATGAAAATTCTGTCAGTATTTACTCACCCTCATGTTGTTCCAAACCTCTATGTGTTTATTTGTTCTGTTGAACACAAAGGAAGATATTTGTAAGAATGTTTTAATCAAACAGATCTCATTCCCCATTGACTACCATAGTAGGAAAAAATGCATGGTAGTCAATGGGGAATGAGATCTGTTTGATTAAAACATTCTTCCAAATATCTTCCTTTGTGTTCAGCAGAAAAAATAAACACATAGAGGTTTGGAACAACATGAGGGTGAGTCAATACTGACAGAATTTTCATTTTTGGGTGAACTAACCCTTTAAAGGATAAGTGCATCCACAAATGAAAATCATTTACTCACCCTCAACCCATAAAACTCTCTTCCTTTCTGAAGCTGGTCCAAAACAGCATGAGACACGCACACATGAAAAATATGAATAATAAATGAGCTTCAAAAAGGACTAAAAAAGTAGGATAAAAGCAGTCCATATGGCACATATGCACTATATTTCAAATCTTCTTAAGCTTAGAATAGCTTTGTGTGAGGAACAGGCTGAAATGTAAGTTGTCAGCGAAAAATTGTTCTTGATAAGACAGTTATTTGCTGAACCTAAATATAAAGAAGCTTTTGAAGCTATTTAAAACACTAAAATATAGCTTGAATTTTATTCAAGTCACACTCTTAAAAATAAAGGTTGCAAAGGAAAGTTTTTGCAGTTATGTCAAAGAACCTTTTTAGGTCCCCCAAAGAACTTTTCAGTGAGCAGTCCTTAAAATAACTGTTTAATTGTTATCGTGGATGTGCGAATAACATTTTAATAATCTAAAGAACCATTTCCACTATAAAGAACATTTTAGGGAATAATATTTTGTGGGGTTCAATAATTTTGAGCATGGATGTTAAAGGTTCTCCATGGAAGCATCAATGCCAAAAAATAATCTTTATTGTTAAAGGGACACATCAAGCTTTCCATTATTAGAAACCCAGTCATACTATTGAATGGTCGTGCAACACTCTCTCACTTTCCCCTGAGATGAGAGAAATCTGCTATTTACCTTTTTCACATCCTCCTATAATGACGCAAAAATCGTCATTTTACATCATTGTAGGAGGAAGTGTAAGAGGCGGGATTTCTGTAAAGACTACAAGCACGATTCCCACCCTTTCAAACCCGTCCATAGGGGGTTGGACCTAATGCGCTAACAGACCTATCACAGATCAGTGCCAGTGCGTCTGATTTCACTGGCAGAAACTTTTTGGAAATATGGACAAAGGTACTGAATACTCAGACGGATGCATTATGGAGGATTGGGATAACACATAGTGTCAGCCATCTTTTTTGGAAGCTAAGCTAGCATACTCTTGTTCTGTGGAGAAAGCCGAGTTGTAACTTTAGGGGTTATCGTCCTCTTTTTCAAGGACATGTAAAGCCGTCGATGTCCGGGATTCAGCTTTTGATTTCTGCAGTCGCCATTCATTGTTTACAGGCACAGCTTTTGTTTCAATCTAACTGAATTTATTCTGATTGGTGAATCTGAATGTTTACATGAACGCTAAAAAAGTGATCGGTTGATGTGCGTTTTAACATTGCTAAGAAAATTCCTGCTCCTCAGTGAAAGATACGAGACGCGTCTCACAGGTGTCGCTCATCGGTAATCACGCCACCAGCCTGCTCGCCACAGGAAACATAATGAATGGTGACTGTAGAACGCAAAAGCTGAATCCCAGACATTTTGGGCGATCTCGAAACACATTTTCGGGCAGACTCATGGACTCACTAGACTAGCCTAGACTTGTTGTTTAACTACTGTGCGGTTACCAGTAGGCGTGGCCTCCTAGGGCAGCAAAGCAAGTGCATTCTGGGAGTTGTTGTCTTTCATCCACATAAGCCAAAAAATACATTTTCTGGCTTTTCTCAGTCTATAAAGCTCCAAATTCAAAAATAATTTCACATTTCTTCTACATAAATTACCCATTTTAAATAGACATTCATCTTTCCAGAGGTGGAATGACCCTTTAAGAGTGTATGTCCTTATGATGAACTAACAGCAGCTTTGACCGTAAGACCATAGTACATCCACAAATAGCGTGTGTATGAGCAGCATTCAAAATTTTGATTAAAGGTGAGTCGCCCCTTTTTGATTTGTTTTTAATTAATCCTCCTGCACTGCACATCCATCAGTGAAAGTCAAAGTGCAGCGCAAACACATTTCCTCTTCCCGACCCACTGATCTAAAACAAATAACAAAATCAACAGCTGAGTCCTCACAACAAATTACCATCACATATTCACATAATAAAAGACACAAGCACAGCTACACTAAATCTGCTCTGTAAAACACTCAAGTACAATCAATGGGTAAAAGTGTACAATTAAACCAAGTAAAGATGTCATTAGACATGAGTCAGGTTGCTCTATGTTTCCGTAACTCAACCTTAATTTGATTACAAATGAAATGGCTAGAATTCAACTGTGGCTCAAGAAAAACCTTTAATTGGTGGTTCATTAGTACAAAGCAGGTTATGTTGCTACTTTACAGACTAAAACCTTGAAGAAATAAAGTGCACTCCATATTAAAATAATCTATACTCACCCTCATGTCATTCAAAACCTGCATGATTTTCTTTTTTCTGTAAAACACAAAAGGAGATTGTAGGCAGGAGGTTGTTTGTAGCTCTTTTCTATACAATGCAAGTACAGAGTAATCATGAGCTGTCAAGCACGAAAAAGCACCAAAAAAAAAAAAACAGCAAGGTATATAAAAGGAGACGTTAAGTAAGATTCCAAGTCTATTTCAAGCTTTGTGTGTGCAAAAAAAATTAGTGACATGATGTTCACTGAACACCATTCCTGGACCGTAGCTCTCAGATCTCACTGGAGCTTGACAACCAAACATGGTGGTTACTTAAAAAGAAAGTCACACAGTTTTGGAATGAATTGAGAGCGAATAAATTGTGACAGAATTTCCAATGCTGTTCATCTTGCCATTAGCATGTCCATTTGTGAAAGGGTTGACACATAATATATACGCACTTATCATAAACATCTTACAAAAAGAGTAGTCATGCATTTTAAACCATAAATGTCATAAATGTAGCAAAAACATCTGCATCTAACATCCAACGGGGGACAATGTATCGAATGTATCGCATGTCTTGGTCTTCAGGGTATAAGAGATATAAACGGTGGCATGTAATTACTCAGTCAAAATTTAAAACCTATATTAATACGAATAATGATCATAATATGTAAAGAGTGAGATTATAATGGCTGGTGTCAGCTGTCTTGTATGAGAATTATGTTCAGTAATAAGGGCTCCAGCAGAACCTCGTCGAAATGACTTATTCAGTCTGTTTGCAGAGTTTGAAATCTATGTGCAAACATCTATTAAAAAAAAAAAAAAAACACTTTAGCGCTGCCCGAATCTCTTATTCAAAACCACAGTTTTGCAAGATGAATGACTTCACAAATATATTTCGAAAACATATACAGGATAAATAGCAAAATAGAGAATAAATAAAAATATGAAATAAAAGTACAGCAAAAGCAACTAAATGACAAGATGATACATTACAACAAGCTGTAGAAGTTACAAAACACAAAAAAATGAAGAAAAAAAAGTAGATTTAAAAATCTATGTTTAAAAATTCTGCATATTTCTTCAATTAGCAGCACACTTCCTCAAGATACTGTAACAAAAATTCACTATGAAGGTTAAACTCAGCAGGCAGAGACTTTGTAATGCGAGTACACACACAGACAAAAACATAACAAAAAAGCATCAGTTTTCTCCCGTTACATGCTTTATTTGACAAGAACCGAGGCCTCTAACCAGGGCTGTCCTTCGATGCTAAACAAGGTCACCAACACACAACCAGACACACATACACAGTCTCTTTGAAGAGAACCGAGAAGCAGACAGGCCTCTTCCGCACTCTTTGCGTGGGTCTCCGTATCCAAGGCTACTTATTAGAATAAATCCATTTTCATTCTCTCCTCTGCCAGGCAATTAACCACCTCTCCCTCTCATCAGTCAAAGAGTCAAGCACTGGCACCTGGAAGGTGTGTCTCCTTTTTATCTCTCTTGCTTTCTTTCTTTTCCTGTCCCCCTTTTCTTCTTTTTCCTCCTCTTTTCTACTTGGCTCGCTTACTCTTTCTCTGTGTGTTTTGAAGCTAGGCCCATTTATCTTCCTCAGACAGAGAGAGTGACGCTTAGCCGGGCAGCTCTGGCCTTGGTGGAGAACTCAAGTGCCTCACCTCCTCTCACCCTGTCTGAGGATGAGACACACACACACACACAAAGTAGACTTTAAGTAGACTCTCCATTGGCGTAATGGATTTATACTATACAAAAAAATAATACAGTTTAGTATGTTTTTTAAAGCATTGACGTGTCCTCATAAACCATGTGTATATTGTAATAACCATAGATATCTATATAAAGGCTATATATCTCATCTGCGCTGCTGGCCAATGGAGGTCGACGTCAGCACCTGGCGGCCATCTTGTCACAGGCAGCTCGCTCACTGGTAACATTGTTTTAATGGTGCATGTACTTTTTAAATCACCGTAACTTGCTCAATTTTCTACCGATTTTCAAACGATCTGGTTTGTTATAAACGGCAGAGATGTAGTTATGATGCTGCATACTTATGAATAATAAGTGTATAAATAAATAATCGTCCATAATTATACAGCCACATTAATAACGTTTGTAAGAAACCAAACCGTTTGTAAATCCGTCAAGATTTCAACAAGATAAGAGTATTTCTTACATCAGATACCACAGAGTCCGCCAGAAAGCCTGTCTGTGACAAGATGGCCGCCGGTGATGAGGATAAATACGCCGCCGTGAGACATCTAGCCTTTATATAGATATCTATGGTAATAACCATGTCATTATACATTATATTATATCCAATTGAGGTTGGGTTTCCATTTCCTTCTCTTCCGCCAATCATTTCCAGTCCTCTATCCTACAACCCCTGTGAGGAAAAAGTGGCAAATGTTAAAAAAGACACCAAAACTAATAAAAGATATTTTTGCTTTTTACCTGAAATGAAGAAAGTGCTGCATGCCTGTGATTTCTTTTTCATAAAATATATTTCCAGCCCACGTGTAGCTGTCAGCGTTAGGATTTTTGCAGCTCCTCTTTGCCACAGCCTACGGCCACATAAAATTGTGTTCAACGATTTGTTAAATATCCATTTTCAGTGAATGCAATAAAACCTGTGGCCCGCTCTGAAAAAAAAAAAAAAATCGTCCTTGAGTTTTAGCTGTTAGGGCTCATCGAAGCAGAGGAGAGAAAACGACAGAGATGCTAATGAAACGTCCCAAGAGGTCATTATATTAAAATCAATAATGCCTCATTTCCATGGTAAAGTTGCTGCCTTACTGGCAAGAATCAGTTGTGTTGTCTGTGCCGATGGGGGGAAAGATAAAAGCCTCCACTGAGAGGCTTGTGCTTTCAAGAGCTCTTTCCCAACACAATGGAAAACAATTCCCACCATCTTTCAGAGGAACACTGTGTTCGCGGTCACGCAGACATCTGTGTGCACATATAACAAAAGACACATTCGCCATAATGTCAGCTGGGTTTTTATATAAGAGCCGTACGCCGCGTGGATTGTGACTGCATCAATGCAAAGTTCTGTTGACTTAATCGCATTCAACGTGCCCTTTAGCGCTGCTTCTCAAGATCCTGCAAAAGTGTTTCTCACCGCAGAAGTAAACACAACAGAAGCCTCCAAGTCTCCCGCTACCAAATCAGAAAACCTTGGTCGAAAGAAGGAAACCCGACGTCTATCCGAGGGTTTACCTGCGACATGACTTTATCACTCCTGCGCGGAGAGACGTTTACTGCCAATATTTACCCAGATCTAATCCCGTCTACTGCCTCCAGGACTAATTGAGTCTGATTTTAGGAGTGCTTACTTTCCTTGGGTGGCCAGATATTTAATGCGGCAGTTTCAAAAAAATCCACCTGATTAACATTTTGCAGTCTCTTTGATTTATTAAACGCATGTGCCTCTAATCTCATCTAATTACATGCAAACACATGCCGCTGGAAGAAAAAGAAAGAGGGAATGAATGAAACGAAAGAAAGGGGCAGAGATAAAACCGCATGCATTGCAGATTTCATTGATTGATTGTTCTCCACCAATCACATCTTATGTCAACATAACGACCAACTGCCTTTAGGGAATAAATGAAATGAGAGCGTTTTTCAGTTTGAAAAGTGGATTTTTATATAGTCTATTAGACAAATAATGTGTTTAATATGAATAAATGTTATAGAAAAATAAATCAAATGCAATATATGAATAAATGTCATATATATATAGGCTAAAATTCAGATATATGACAGACACGTTTTGTAAAATGAGCCTTTTATTCTTTTTATTTATTATGCTTTTCAAGACCATTAAATCTTTCCTCGTAACCATTCTTTCTCTTGCCCTCTCTTGTATCGCGGCAGGGCTTCAGCACGTTTTGCTCATGCGATTTACTTTCGATTAAGGGATTAAAAATCAATTATGCAGGAAGTCATGCGTGGGTGTGATTACGGCGCCACAGAACCAAGCAGTTCATCACAAAGAGCTTCATCTCTCTTGGCTTCCGCATGAGCCCAGAAGTCATCACAGAAATTTACTGACAAGCATACTGACAATCTTCGCTGTTTACCACACACCAGACACCTGCAATAAAGACAAGAAATACAATATGATTTTGTAATAAGTTACTGTACTTAAGTATCCTTTTGGCTACTTTTGAATATGTACTCTTTTCTCCAATAGATTTGTGGTGAGTAATGCAATTACATTTTGCATGGCACCCAACTTTTTCTGCAGGAGTTTTTTTTTTTTTCTGCTTCAAAATAAGCTATATTGCTATCTACAGGGCATTGAAGGTATCATATATTATGCGTTTTGCCATAAAAGGAGTAGTTCACTTTTCAAAAAACTTTTGCTGATAATTTACTCTCCCCAACGTCATCCAAGATGTCCATGTCATTCTTTCTTCAGTCGAAAAGAAATTAAGGTTTTTGATGAAAACATTCCAGCATTTTTCTCCATACAATGGACTTCAATGGGAACCAACTGGTTCAAGGTCCAAAAGACACTTTCTGTCACGTTGTGGGTTTTGTTTTGCTTTGTGTATCACGTGTTTCCTTGTTTGTCATGTGATCCTGCCATGTGTCTTGTCTTTTGTTATGATTTTGCTCAGTGTCCACAGGTGTTTCTTATTTACCACACCCCCTTGTTAGCTTGATTAGCTTGTTTGTCTGTGTATTTATACCCCTGTGTTTCAGTTGTTGGGTGTCGGTTGTTGTTTAATGTCACTCGGTTCCTGCCTGTTCATCTGTCCTGTTCTGAGGTCCCTGGATTATCTGTTAGTGTAATTAATAAATGCTTGCGATTGGATTCACTCTCTGTTTCGTTCCTGACCGGATGTGACAGAACAACCGACCTCCAAATGAATCCAGCAGCACAGATTATGTGTCTCCGTCAAGGAGATCAGTCCTTAGGGGAGTATATTATGGACTTTATTAAGCTGGCACCTGTCTCATCTTTTGATGAGGTATGCCTGATGGTATTCTTCAGAGGAGGGCTATCCGAGCCACTCTACTCCTTTATGCCACTCCATCACCCTAGCTGTAGTCTGAAGGACTATATCATCCAGGCTGTTTTGCTGAACGATTCTCTGTCCGCCAAGACCGACCTGCCGGAGCTCAGCCCTGCCGAGCCTGCGCTCACCGTCAGCCCTGCCGAGCCTGCGCTCACCGTCAGCCCTGCCGAGCCCGAGCTTTCAACGCTGGTTTCGTCCAGCTCTCCAGAGATTGAATGCTCTTTGCCGCTGGTTCCGTCCAGCTCTCCAGAGTCTGAATGCTCTTCGCCGCTGGTCCCGTCCAGCTCTCCAGAGATTGAATGCTCTTCACCGCTGGTTCCGTCCAGCTCTCCAGAGACTGTATGCTCTTCACCGCTGGTTCCGTCCAGCTCTCCAGAGACTGTATGCTCTTCACCGCTGGTTCCGTCCAGCTCTCCAGAGACTGTATGCTCTTCACCGCTGGTTCCGTCCAGCTCTCCAGAGACTGTATGCTCTTCACCGCTGGTTCCGTCCAGCTCTCCAGAGACTGTATGCTCTTTACTGCTGGTTCCGTCCAGCCCTCCAGAGACCGTCCAGCCCGTCCAGCCAGAGACAGTCCAGCCCGTCCAGCCAGAAACCATCCAGACCGTCCAGCCAGAGACCGGCCAGACCGTCCAGCCAGAGACCGTCCAGACCGTCCGGCCCGAGACCGTCCAGACCCTCCAGCCCGAGACCGTCCAGACCGTCCAGCCCGAGACCATCCACTCCCCATCTGCCCTTCACCCGGGGACTCAACCCAAATATTTTTTTGGGGGGGGCCCAGTGTCCCAGCCACGGCCGCCTGAAGGGCTCTCACCGCCGTGGCCGCCCGAGGAGAATTCACCGCCGTGGCCGCCCGAGGAGAATTCACCGCCGTGGCCGCCCGAGGGGTCTTCACCGCCGTGGCCGCCCGAGGGGTCTTCACCGCCGTGGCCGCCCGAGGGGTCTTCACCGCCGTGGCCGCCCGAGGGGTCTTCACCGCCGTGGCCGCCCGAGGGTCTTCACCGCCGTGGCCTTCGCCTGGTCCTGCTCCGCCCTGGCCGTCGCCTGATCCTGCTCCGCCCTGGCCTTCACCTGGTCCTGCTCCGCCCTGGCCTTCGCCTGGTCCTGCTCCGCCCTGGCCTTCGCCTGGTCCTGCTCCGCCCTGGCCTTCGCCTGGTCCTGCTCCGCCCTGGCCTTCGCCTGGTCCTGCTCCGCCCTGGCCTTCGCCTGGTCCTGCTCCGCCCTGGCCTTCGCCTGGTCCTGCTCCGCCCTGGCCTTCGCCTGGTCCTGCTCTGCCCTGGCCTTCGCCTGGTCGTCTGCTCCAAGTCTGGTCCTGTTCCCCTGCACAGACTTGGCCCTCCTTCCCTCCCCCAGGACCACCTCCGCGTCACCACCCTCCTGAACTTGTGTTTTGGGTTTTGTTTTGGGTGTTACACTAGGGGCGTCGGGAGCCGCCCATAGGGGGAGGCTATGTCACGTTGTGGGTTTTGTTTTGCTTTGTGTATCACGTGTTTCCTTGTTTGTCATGTGATCCTGCCATGTGTCTTGTCTTTTGTTATGATTTTGCTCAGTGTCCACAGGTGTTTCTTATTTACCACACCCCCTTGTTAGCTTGATTAGCTTGTTTGTCTGTGTATTTATACCCCTGTGTTTCAGTTGTTGGGTGTCGGTTGTTGTTTAATGTCACTCGGTTCCTGCCTGTTCATCTGTCCTGTTCTGAGGTCCCTGGATTATCTGTTAGTGTAATTAATGAATGCTTGCGATTGGATTCACTCTCTGTTTCGTTCCTGACCGGATGTGACACTTTCAGTATAAACTGCAAACTGTTCAAAGGGCTTTAAACGATTCCAGACGATGAATAAGGGTCTTATCAAGCGAAACGATCGCTCATTTAATAAATAAATAACAAAGTTTAAGTTTTATAAGCTCAAATGCTCACCTTGCTCTGTACTGCGATGGACATTCGTGACTCTCCTGTTCGAACTCGTTCATCAAAATGAACAAATCTTTTTCTGAGTCATTTGGTTCATTGAACGAACGAAACAAACAAATTGACTCGGAAAAAGATTTGTTCATTTTGATGAATGAGTTTGAACAGTAGAGTCACGAACGTCCATCGCATTACAGAGCAAGGCGAGCATTTGAGCTTATAAAACTTATTAAATGAGCGATCGTTTCGCTTGAAGACCCTTATTCATCGCCTGGAATCATTTAAAGCCCTTTGTTTTTCACTTTTAAAGTTTTTTCAAAAGTGAACTACTCCTTTAAAGGGGTTCCACACCCGAAACACCTTTGTTCATCTTCGGTACACAAATAAAAAAAAAAAAAATTATGAAATCCGAGAATCCGAGCTCCGAGAATCTTTCTGTCACTCCATTGGGACCGATGCAATTTACACGTTCATGGTACGATAGGAAAGACGTCATTAAAGTAGGCTAATCCACATGACTTCAGTGTTTTCACCTCAATTTTATGAAGAGGCGCAATTTTTCGGAAATATTGACCTGCATGCGTGTTGTGTTGACTCAAGACAGGAAGTTGTTCTATGAATGCGCTTTGGATAGTATTGTTTTGTAAATGCAGAAGTAAATTATCACAGAAAGCTTGCTTTATGATTGGGTATCGTTTTATTC